GATCTGTGACAAATTCGTCCATTGTGATAGGGCTGCTGGGACTGATCATACCTCAGATTTTATCAAAATTGAATATGTACCTAACTGGCCGGTGGCTGACTAGATCATCTGCCACCTACAGGGAAACCTGGGGAAAAATTGTACCTGGCATACTTTTATTTTCCTGATCTCAGTTTTTGAGACAATAATTTCGCCCCGAAAAATAAATGTCAAGAATTACTCAATTTGACAAAGCGATCTTGCATGATTATGTAATGCATACTAAGCGGAAAAATGCAATAAGCAAATAAACGTCTCACTACTTGATCATCGGCCTTGGCTGTCTGGCTATAACTGGGCTAATACAAATACTGACAAATGCATGCCTAATTAACCAGAATGAATGTATACACTCAATTGGGCCAGCATGAAAGTGAGGACAGGGCTGGTAAGCTAATAATGCAGGCATGCCTAAAAAGTACCAACAGATGGCGGGCCACATTTAAGGTGTAACAGCTACGTATATTCTAGCAGCTTGGTCATGCTAAATGTATTTTTTGAATTAACTATTGCTTTTCGTGACTACCAGTAAATCAGTTATAAGATGTATTCACCCAATTTCGTTTAAGGTGATCAAGAACTAGTAGAAGTAGAATTTTCCCACAAATGAGATGAGTTGGGCTGACGTTTCCATTGATTTTTTACATTGCTTTGCTTTCCCAAAAGTTGTTCTCATCCAGGGTGGACTGCAGTTTCGACCTCGCATCCGTCTTATCAACACCCTCAGCTATGTGAAATTCAATGGAAATGTCAGCTTAAACGAAATTAGGTGAATACATCTTATAACTGATTTACTGGTAGTCACGAAAAGCAATACTTAATTCGAAAAATAGAGTATAGTAGTCGATTGTTATATAAAAACATACGTTTGCTTCATCGACAATTCCACAAAAAGCATATGATATGGCAAAAACGCCTGGCCTTCCTTGAAAATTCACATTTGCTTGTGACCCAAAAGGCGCTCGTGGCAGTGTAGTCAAGTGGTTAGCGTGTCAAGCTACCGTCCTGCACTGTAGCGGTTCGACTCCCGCTGAGGGTGTTGATAAGACCGATGCGAGGTCGAAACTACAGTCCACCCTGGATGAGAACAACTATTGGGAGAGCAAAGCTATGTAAAAATTCAATGGAAACGTCAGCTCAACTCATAACATTTGTGGGAAAATTCTACTTCTACCAGTCATTCATTGCCTTAAACGAAATTGGGTGAATACATCTTATGCGAAATGTAGTTGGCCGGCTTCAGGTTTAAGCCTTGACTCATCTCTTCCAGTAGCTAAGTCGACACACGAAACTTCGTTATAATTTAATCCACATTCGTATTGAGTAGGTTTCGAAGCTACCAGTAGATCTTAAATAAGGCAACATTGCTTTTATCTCTGCTCCTGTCAAGTTGGCCAGCCTAGAAACCGGTTGCTGTAAGAAATTTTGGTTGAAGCAAGCCCATTTCACCGTGACCTGTTGTGTTACAGCAGCAGTTCACAAGTTGAATTTTAACAAGAATGCCTTGAATCCCTCTAGGCTACCAGTAATCGTGAACACGTAGGCCTAACCGATAGTCTTTATATGGCACAGTAAAAATGAGGTCACTTTCTAAAACAGCCATGAGATTACAAAGCATATAGTATGCAGTAGAAATGGACACATTGCGTTGGTGTAATTAGTAGTCAACTCATACATTTAGATTTCGCTTTTTTGCTCTCTATATTACGAGATTTATATGTCTGCGGTCGCGTTATTTCAATCACTCTGAAAAGTAGGAAACGCGGCTACTTTATCACATATTCATCGTTGTTACCATATCACAACGACTATTAGCCGCGCTTTATGTCTTTTCTTTTGGAATTAACTTTCTGCGTTCTCTCCATTTTTTGAGTCTGCCTCTATTACCTCTGTACTTAACTTACATAGGCTAAACAAATATGTAGTTAAATTTTCGAGTGAACCGAAGAGAAAAAATCCACGACTCCTGTCGCTTCAAACTTCAACAACCTTGGGCTTAGCAAGTGGATTTCTTGTGAAGAGTTCATATTGATAAAGTTCGGTGCGCAGACGAGGTGAGAGCGTCCAGGCATTCTCATTTGTTTATGTTTTCCCACTAAGAGGTATGTGCGTATGAGCATACATTTGCATGCTTGCACCTTTCATAAAACTAAGCCAAACTTAATAACCGTCACAGTCAGTAGTATGTTATTATACATACACTTTTGTAATGGACAGGCTTACTCAGTCTGTTTCACCATTCAATCTTCCCTCTTCACTTCCTTATTTATATATTTTAATGCTTCACAACCTTATTTGTATTATCCTATTACATTTATTAGATGCTCTGACCTTTTTGCTTGGTCGTGTTATGCTAAATTCAACGTCAGGACTGGGTAAAGGGAGAGACAAATGTGCCCAGCCCAATCAGCCAATCATAATGCAGATTCCCCTTATCATAAATTGACCAATCAACAAGGACGAGCTGATTTCATGTCCTTAATATTAGAGCTTGACTATAGCGGGGTCGATAAGGCAACAATAGGCAGGGTTACCTTCCCACCCAAGTACCGGTAGATTTACCGTGTCGATCACCAATCGGCTTGTTGCTTTGTTTGGTGCTCCGGAGCCAGTGCAATTAGTATTTGCGCGTGTCAACCACTGGTTTTAAAGACCAGACAAATCTGTGACGGGTCTAGTTTGTGGCGCAATCGTGGGACCTGAGCGAGCTTTGCCCGTCTTTACTATGAATGACGACCCAACCAGTCTGACAGATGACTTCGAGAGGTTTTGTCAGATGGCCCACGGCTCACCGCAGCGAAACGCGTCAGAGTCGTCTGGAGGAGCCGACTTCCTGGCGGCTCCACAGCCGAACATGCGGCGAAGTCGAGCGTCAAGCATGCGAGAGACTCGTCGTCGCAACTCGCTGCATCCCAACTCGGTCGGCGCCAACGGTGCAGCTCGTCTTGCCGGTGGTTCGCGGTCTCCCAATTTGCGTTCTGGCAACGCTACAGCCGGGTCCATGTTCCACCCTGCCGGCTCGAACCGGACAGCGTTGGGCCCGAGCCCGCAACACGGCTTTCCCGACAACTATCCGGCCAACGAGAGCAGAGGAGAGTCGAGGCTGAGCCCCAGGCGGTATTCGGCCATGTCGCCGGCAGGCGGCGCTCCCAGTCCGGGCAAACTGGCCAGTCCGGATAGCACAACCGCCGGGCCGGATCTGCTGGCGAAGGAGCAGCAGATGGGAGGTCAAATGGCCAATTCGCTCGGCTGGCCCGAGTCGTTGGCTTCAAGATCCCGATCCGGCTCCATGAAGGAGGGTCGAATGTCGTCTGCCTGTCAGCAGTTGAGCCCGACTCTGGCGGCCCGACAGACAAGAGACAGTCTGGGCGTAATACGTGTCCGCAGTTTCAGGAGGACGAAAAATGGCCAAGTGGTCAGTCAAGGCGACCGGGCTGTTATCACCTCGACGCCTGCTGCAAGGTTAGTCGATTCGACCGGAACCCGGCGCTCGATCAACACTGGCTGGACGGGACAACATGGAAACGAGCCTTGTCTAGTCGCAGATGAGACGCCGGAAAATGACTTTCTAGAGCTCCCGGCAATCACGACGACACAGGCTTCTCCCAGAGCCTACCATCATCACCACCATCCGACACATGCTCAGCAGCAGCTGATGCAACAGTTGCATCAAAAGCAGCCGACACTCTCCCATTTGGCTCCGATGCACTCTGCCTCGTTGCGTTCTATTTCTATGGCGCAGAATGAAGAGGTTGCGGCCGAGATCAATTTGGCTCTTCAGCGCCATCGTCTTTCCGGCTCCACCAGTCAAATGCTGCGAGTTCAAGTAATAGGAGCCGAGCAGGTTGGCAAAACCAGTTTGTGCGAGCAGTTTCTCAGCTCTGAGTCCCTAGACGACGGATTTGATTCAAGTGAGTGCCCCCAAAATCAACGATGCTACCTGCAGGCTCGAGTTAGCCCAGAGTATCGAGGCGTTTTTCAAACATTTAGTATCAAACAATTTAGGCTTTCTAATGAGATAGTGGCTGGTACGTCCGTTTGCCCTCTGCACTCATACCTAATCAACCACACGGAGCCATGTAGAATCAAGTTGTACAAATTGTTGCCATTCGGTGATCAAGTTGTAAACATTAGATATTGATATAGAAGGTCTTCATAGCCCTAAAACGAGCCATTTATTGAGTAAAATCGCTACAATTTCAACGAAATGTCGGCCTGATATTTAAGAGGCCCAAATCGAATAGGAAGAGACAACTTTGACTTTCTAGTCTATCTA